TCGAGACGTCTATTCTGCAAGCCCCCAAAAAAATCAAATTTTTAATATTTCGTTTAGCACCTCAAGACGCCAAAGAAGTAACATACTCCGAATAATATAGTGGCACACGAATATCAGAACTCTACTATTTTGTGACACGATTGTAGGTAAAAGAAATTTGTATTTTGTCCTTTTATTTATTATCCTTTGAATCTTCTGCTATATTTTGTCTGAATATTAATTTTATTATGCTACATATGGCTAACTTTGAAATAAAATTTTCGTATGGATGAACTGACATATGTTTTAAAACTTTGCCACCTATTTCGTAAATATATTTTATCAGAAGAAACAAAACATGAATATTCATGTATTTTCATATATATATATATGACAATTGACAAAAAATATCATACAGTGTTCGTTGACAGAAAAATACAGTTATTGTTCATACATTCTTAGTGAAATTCTGGAGGGTTTGGTATTGGGTTTGTCCCACATGAAGAACACACTCAAAGAAGTCAAAGCAATTTTAGAACCCATTAACAACAAAAGAAAAGCAATTTCAAGCCCATTAATACTTAAAGCCATTCTCTGGGCCCAACATATAGACATGCTGATTTTCTCTCATGGTTTGTCTGTTTTGAACTCAACGGGGGATAAAGGTATCAGAAAACATTAGTAGCATATGTTTTATTGATTTAACTTCTAAAAATATATTTTGTTTAATATTTTTGATAATATCTATAACAAGTTAAAAAAAATTGTTTGATATTTTTGATAATGTATAGCTCTAAAAATTTGTTTGCATGAATACGACAAAAAAAAATAGATATTGTATTTCATAACATGGATTTCGACATAGTTTATTGTAAACTTTCTCCGTCGTGATTATTGTTTCCATAATCTTCATCGGAGTCCAATGCTGAAAAACAATAAAATTTCGTTAATTTATCATCCAAAACAACTGATATAAAAGGTTTTGCTCAAGTTTCTTGTGAGAGTAGTCAATGAACTAGCTTTGGTTTCCAATTTGCCAAAAAGACTAATCGAAAAAGAGGGAAGATGGAAGAAGTAAGCAAAGTTTGGAACATATTACTCAGGGCTTAAACCATTCGATGAGGTTACTGTCGTACCGGTGATTACCCAAGAATCGGAGAGAGAACAATCTATTGCGAACAGTTTTGTCTATCATCACCACTTGCTTCGATACATTGTAGGCAAGAGATCAAAGAGTAATGTAATAAGCCGAACCCACATCTCTTTAGTAATGAAATTCATTCGGAAAAATAAATAAATTACACATGTCAATAAGGATAAAGCTCGAAATAAAAATGTAAAGTTTACGGATGTATAGTTTATTTACTCCACAACGTACATTAAAACAATGCTATAAGCTTAAGCAGATAAAAACTTGTTTTTATATTGAAAAACAGTTTGTCGTTTTGTAGCTTTTTCCCTTAAAAGTACAATATAACATGAAAATCCAAAGAAATTGAGATCGCTAACCCAAACAACCCCTTTTATTTTATATGATGAAATAGGGAATTTAAGGTCATGCACACACAACAAATTAACCTCTCATTACTAAAGAGATCATGATACCAACAAAAATCTTGAAAAGCGAAACATTCAGAGTCTTCGAAAAACTCATTACTCTATACATTTTTATCAAGCCGGACACTTGAAGCCGGGTGGTGGAGTTTTTCCACAGTTGACAAGAAGCTCAAGAGCAACGGGGACGATGAGATTGACGTTGAGAAGCTTGGCTTTAATAGTAGAACATAGACAAACGGCTGCGTCTAGATCAACTAAACCTTTTAAAACCGGACAACACTCTTGTTTGGCACTTTTCCCTAGCCCAATGTGAACTAAACCTCCAAGAACGTCCACGCATGACCCTAGCTTCAGGGTGTCGATGGGACAAGTCTCTGGTTTAGGCTTAGGTGGTACAGAAGGTGGAGTAGGAGAAGACGATGGTGGCGGACACGTTTTTGGTGGAGTTGGATTTGGTGGCGTTACGATAGGTGGTGTTGGTGTAGGCGGCGTTACCACGGGAGGTGTTGGTTTTGGAGGTGTTACCACGGGTGGAGTTGGTTTTGGCGGTGTTGCAATAGGTGGAGTGGGTGTAGGCGGTGCTACGACTGGTGGAGTTGGTTTTGGCGGCGTCACCATAGGTGGAGTCGGTTTAGGCGGCGTTACCACAGGTGGAGTTGGCATCGGCGGCGTGACGGGTGGAGTTGGCTTTGGCGGCGTTACGATGGGAGGAGTTGGCATAGGCGGGGTTACGATGGGAGGAGTTGGCATAGGCGGTGTTACAACGGGTGGAGTTGGTTTTGGGGGTGTTACTACGGGTGGAGTTGGTTTTGGTGGAGATACAACGGGTGGTGTTGGTGTAGGAGGTGTTACAACGGGAGGTGTTGGTTTTGGAGGCGTTACGATCGGTGGAGTTGGTTTTGGCGGTGTTACAATAGGCGGAGTTGGTGTTGGCGGTGGTACGACAGGTGGAGTTGGTTTTGGCGGCGTTACAATAGGTGGTGTAGGTGTTGGCGGCGTTACAGGTGGAGTTGGCTTTGGTGGTGTTACAATTGGTGGAGTTGGCATAGGCGGCGTTACGGGTGGAGTTGGTTTCGGTGGCGTTACAATGGGAGGGGATGGCATAGGCGGCGTTACGACTGGTGGAGTTGGTTTTGGAGGTGTTACTATAGGTGGTGTTGGTTTAGGCGGCATGACAACGGGTGGAGTTGGTCTTGGCGGTGTAACGATTGGTGGTGTTGGTTGTGGCGGTGTAACAACAGGTGGTGTTGGTTTTGGTGGCGATACAATAGGTGGTGTTGGTGTAGGCGGTGTTACCATAGGAGGTGTTGGTTTTGGAGGCGTTATCACAGGAGGTGTTACAATAGGCGGAGTCGGTGTTGGCGGTGCTACGACAGGTGGTGTTGGTTTGGGTGGCGTAACGATAGGTGGAGTTGGTTTTGGCGGCGTTACGACAGGTGGTGTAGGTAATGGTGGAGTTGGTTTAGGCGGTGTTAAAACAGGTGGAGTTGGCACTGGTGGCGTTACGGGTGGAGTTGGCTTCGGTGGCGTTACAATGGGAGGAGTCGGCATAGGCGGCGGTACGACTGGTGGAGTTGGTTTTGGAGGTGTTACTATAGGTGGTGTTGGTTTAGGCGGTGTGACAACGGGTGGTGTTGGTTTTGGTGGCGATACAACAGGCGGTGTTGGTGTAGGCGGCGTTATCACAGGAGGTGTTGGTTTTGGAGGTGTTACAACTGGTGGAGTTGGTTTTGGTGGTGTTACAATAGGCGGAGTCAGTGTTGGCGGTGCTACGACAGGTGGAGTTGGTTTTGGTGGCGTAACGACAGGTGGAGTTGGTTTTGGCGGCGTTACGACAGGTGGTGTAGGTAATGGTGGAGTTGGTTTAGGCGGTGTTACAACGGGTGGAGTTGGCATTGGTGGCGTAATGGGTGGAGTTGGCTTCGGTGGCGTTACAATTGGAGGAGTTGGCATAGGCGGTGCTACCACAGGTGGAGTTGGTTTTGGTGGGGTTACAACGGGTGGAGTTGGTTTTGGTGGTGTAACGACTGGTGGTGATGGTTGTGGTGGTGTAACGACCGGCGGTGTTGGTTTTGGTGGCGATACGACTGGCGGTGTTGGTGTAGGTGGTGTAACCACGGGAGGTGTTGGTTTTGGAGGAGTTACGATTGGTGGAGTCGGTTTTGGCGGTGTTACAATTGGTGGGGTTGGTGTTGGTGGTGCTACAATAGGTGGAGTTGGTTTTGGTGGTGTAACGACAGGTGGAGATGGTTTTGGCGGCGTTACGACAGGTGGTGTAGGTGATGGTGGTGTTATAATAGGTGGAGTTGGTTTAGGCGGTGTTACAACGGGTGGAGTTGGCATCGGCGGTGTTACAGGTGGAGTTGGTTTTGGTGGTGTTACGATGGGGGGAGTCGGCATAGGCGGTGTTACGACTGGTGGAGTTGGTTTTGGAGGTGTTACTATAGGTGGTGTTGGTTTAGGCGGAGTCACCACGGGTGGAGTTGGTTTTGGCGGTGTAACGATTGGTGGTGTTGGTTGTGGCGGCGTAACAACGGGTGGTATTGGTTTTGGTGGCGATACAACAGGCGGTGTTGGTGTAGGCGGCGTTACTACAGGAGGAGTTGGTGTTGGAGGCGTTACAACTGGTGGAGTTGGTTTTGGTGGTGTTACAATAGGCGGAGTCGGTGTTGGCGGTGGTACGACAGGTGGAGTTGGTTTTGGGGGCGTTACAACAGGTGGTGTAGGTAATGGCGGAGTTACCACAGGTGGCGTTGGTTTGGGCGGTGTTGCAACGGGTGGAGTTGGCATCGGCGGCATCACGGGTGGAATTGGCTTCGGTGGCGATATGATTGGAGGAGTTGGCGTAGGCGGTGCTACCACAGGTGGAGTCGGTTTTGGTGGCGTTACAACGGGTGGAGTTGGTTTTGGTGGTGTAACCACTGGTGGTGATGGTTGTGGTGGTGTAACGACCGGTGGTGTTGGTTTTGGTGGCGATACAACGGGCGGTGTTGGTGTAGGTGGTGTTACCACGGGAGGTGTTGGTTTTGGAGGAGTTACGATTGGTGGAGTCGGTTTTGGTGGTGTTACAATTGGCGGAGTCGGTGTTGGTGGTGCTACAACAGGTGGAGTTGGTTTTGGTGGTGTAACGACAGGTGGAGTTGGTTTTGGCGGCGTTACGACAGGTGGTGTAGGTGATGGCGGCGTTACAACAGGTGGAGTTGGTTTGGGCGGTGTTACAACGGGTGGAGTCGGCATCGGCGGCGTTACAGGTGGAGTTGGTTTTGGTGGCGTTACGATGGGAGGAGTTGGCGTAGGTGGTGTTATGATGGGAGGAGTTGGCGTAGGTGGCGTTACAACGGGTGGAGTTGGTTTTGGTGGTGTTACTATAGGTGGTGTTGGTGTAGGTGGCGTTATCACGGGTGGAGTTGGTATTGGTGGTGTTACAATAGGTGGACTTGGTTTTGGTGGTGTAACGATCGGTGGTGTTGGTTGTGGCGGTGTAACGACAGGCGGTGTTGGTTTTGGAGGCGATACAATTGGCGGTGTTGGTGTTGGTGGCGTTACCACGGGAGGTGATGGTTTTGGAGGCGTTACGACGGGTGGAGTTGGTTTTGGGGGTGTTACAATAGGCGGAGTTGGTGTTGGCGGCGTTACGACAGGTGGTGTAGGTGATGGCGGCGTTACCACTGGTGGAGTTGGTTTAGGCGGTGTTACGACGGGTGGAGTTGGCATCGGTGGCGATACAATGGGAGGAGTTGGCGTTGGTGGCGCTGCCACGGGTGGAGTTGGTTTTGGTGGTGTAACGACTGGTGGTGTAGGTTTGGGTGGTGAAACGATGGGCGGCGTTGGTTTTGGTGGTGATTCAACAGGCGAAGTTGGAGCAGGGGGTGTTGGTTTTGGAGGCGTCACAATAGGTGGAGTTGGTGTTGGCGGTATTACGACAGGTGGTGTTGGCGGTATTACCACAGGTGGAGATGGTTTCGGTGGTGTTACAATGGGTGGCGGTTTTACCACTGGTGGAGTTGGTGTAGACGGAGGTGGTTTTACGGGGGGAGGTTTCGGGTAGGGGTGAGGTTTAGTGGGTGGTTTAGGGTGGGGATGTGGTTTCACGATGGGTGGTTTTGGGTGGGGGTGAGGTTTTGGGTGGGGGTGAGGCTTTGTGGGTGGTTTTGGGTGGGGGTGTGGTTTGACGTGATGTTTTGGTGGTTTGTGGGGATGTGACGGAGGACATTCACGAGCGTAGGAGACGGTGAGGAAGCCCAAGAGGAGGAGAATGAGAAAGGCGAGGTTTTGTGTGCGAAACCCCATCTTTTAGAAGAGGGTTTGCGTTTGTGACGTAGTGAGAGATTCAATGAGTAGGAAAATGAGTGTGTTTCCTTTTATAGAAAAATCTTGTAAGATATTTTTTTGTATATCTTAATGTAAGCATCAAATTGCGATTTAGGCGATTGAAAATGGATTTGATTATAGCACATTTCAGGTCACTTAGTTACAAAAAGAAAATAAAAATGGTTTTGTCAAACTTTCCTTAATTGGCC